GTGAAGGGTCTGTCGCTAACTGAGGCCAAACTTCATTTCATCAAAGCCTGGCAGGCGTTACCCGATTACGGAATCTCTCTTTTTGTCGTCAAGTTTTCCACTTCTAAACGAGAGGTAAATCTATATTTAATTAAACACTTATATTATGATTCAATTATATATAATATAACGGAATCTCAAAATTGTTGAAATTGAATGAGGTTTGAAAATGAAATCTTAAACATTTGACACAACTTTGTATTTGATTGGCAAAAGATTTGTAACTAATATTTGTATGATATTGTGTCAGGAATTGCTTGGCGTGGCATTCAATAGACTGATGCGAATGGATGTGAACACTGGCGACCACAACAAGACGTGGCGGTTCAATACGATGAAGGCGTGGAACGTTAATTGGGAAGTGAAACAAATGTTGGTTCAGTTCGAAGAGGAAGACGTGGCCTTTTCCTGTCTCAGCGCCGACTGTAAAATAGTTCACGAATTCATCGGCGGTTATATATTCTTATCCATGCGATCGAAAGATCAAAACCAAACATTAAACGAAGAGTTGTTCCATAAACTAACCGGCGGTTGGATTTAGAGCTTAAGTCCTTTTCTAATCAAATTCATTATAAGTATAACTCGATTAACATTAGTTACGGTTTAAATGTTTTAACAAAACGTTTTATCATTTGAATATAATGTGTCCTAATTGTGAGTTTAACTTAAAAAACAGTTTGTCACTCAATTAGTGTCATTTTGGACTATAAGTTAATTACATAATTATATGAAAGTTTTAATTTAATTTACAAAACCATAAAATATTTTGTAAAAACAATTATATGAGCGATTGGTTGAATTGTTTGCCTATTGTTTGGTACAAATAGATATCAAATCGTTAAAAGTCAAAACAAATTGCAATTAATTAACTTATTAATTATATTCTATTGTAAAATCAATACAAAAAACAATGCAATACTCAACGAAAAATATTGTATAAAATTAATTGACAACAATGTATATGAAGTTACATCGAGAACGTGTATATCGAGAACACCACTGACTACACATTACACTGTAATTTGTTTTGGCCTTCAATTTGAAAAAACCATTGGATATATTCTTTGGCCTTAGATTTATTGAAATGTTTGTCTTTGAAAAGTCATTTTAAAAGTCAAAACAATGTTTTCAATGCAATTAATTGGTTAAACACAAAGTGAGAGAGAGATACCACACAATTGTAAAACAACGTTCAGCCGATTTGATAACTTTTTTGTTGAGCGGCTAATATGTAAAGATGGTCAATCTAGGTCACTTAACTCTTAAATGTTTGTTATGATTACAGAATATGGTATAACTATCTTTATAACTAAAAACCATTTAATTAACAGTCATTTTTACTGATTATCCATTTTTATTAAAATATTATCTTTTATTTCCATAACTAAAACTCTAGACAACGACTCTTCACTTATTATGAAATGTGCCTTAAATATGACTATAACTACGATTACTATTACAGTATATTATGTTTAAATTAAAAACAGTATAATATTTAAAATATATTGTCAAATATATTCATATAAGTAAAACTTAATAAAATCTGAATGAAAATAAAACAAAATATTAATTGTGAAAACATTAGTCCATTAGACTATTTTAATGGGTTTATTAACTTCTCATAAAACGGTATATTCCTGTCTGCGAAAGAAATCGATGCCAAAGTCAAGGGATCATTGAAATAACAATCAAGTGATGATATTTTAGGATCGCCTGACAATCATGTATTATCTCAACTCTACTGTAAATGATATACATTTTGTAACAATAGGAAGACCAATGACATAATGGTTCCGCAAAAACAAAACTATACGTCAAATAATACACTCAATATTTCTTTAAAAAGTTCATTGTTGTTTCAAGATATCCTTTAGACATGTTATTATAATAACATTTTATTAATCAAGGTATATGTAATTTTAACTAATCAAACAATTTTTGATTTGTCGTTTTAAACATGACATCAATCAATATTAAATTGATAATTACAATGTTAATAATCACAATAATGCATGTAGATATCATTTACTCATTAAAACTTTATTTATTAAATGCAATATTTTAAATTTAGAACTAAAGACAATAATTAAATACAATATCTTAAGTTTTAATAAAAATGTACATTTATTTCGGAATATAGAATCTATTATATTATAGATTCTTAAATGTTAAAAATTGGAAATATGATGAAATATAATAGTAAAATGATATTATGCTAATAACTATTATGTCGCCTAACTATCAATAGCTACTTTGCAATAGACTTTCTAATAAAATGTTACTTTAAAATATCAAATGAAATTATTAGGTAATTGAAATTCAATATTTATTTTATTAAAATAAAATCTAAAATTATTATAAAAATATTTGTTCTCTTACAACTAATTTCATTACATTAATAATAGGTACCGAAAAACGTCAAATATAATTGCATAGAACTATAGCAAAATTTCACATAAGGGGTGCAACTACTGTATATCTAGGGTATTGATATTCAATCTTTTTTAGCATATCACATATACAGATTCACAGTGTGCCATAAATAGGTGGCGCATCGGTCAGTAAAAAGGTTGCCGATAGTATGCCAAACACTGGGCACCCGATTGTATGCCAAACACTGGGCACCCGATTGTATGCCAAACACACGGCACCCGATTGTAAGGCCAAACAATCCAAATGTTTTTTAATTAAAACAATTAATTAAAAAATGTCACAAAAATACATACATTTTGACGACTGGTTTGAAATCAAATCCAAATGAAAATGCAGTCAATCCACACGATAACTATCGTATGATCTTCCCAAAATTTCAAGGCATTGAACCCTAGTTGGGATTAACAAAATATAACGTTATGTTTTTTGTCAAGTTTATAATATTCCCAACCGCTCCCACCCCCTGTTTATCCATATATGAATTCAAATGTTCATTCATTCAAATGGTTAATAATTTTTAATCCAAACTTTAAAACATAATTTTAATGTAGTTTATAACAATTGGCTTTTCTACTTCAATGTCCCAAAAGGAC